GGGAGACAGAGCTCTGCTGGGGACTGTTTCCACGTCACACACAAACACGGGCACTCCAGACTGGCGGGAACAGACTTGAAACCGCAGGTCGAGCTCAGGCCACTTCGGAAGCTGCAGACCTGACAGCCGAAGTGCCTCCGTGGCCCCAACCTGGCCTTCCGGGGGGTGGGTCTGGGGGTGGAGATGTGAGGGATGCAGATTCCAGGGCCCACGGTGGCCTGCAGGGGCTCCTGGGAAGCCCCGTCTGAGGTGCTGGGGGTTCTCTGGTTACATGGGCCTGGGGAGGGGCCCACCTGGCCTCACCCATCCAAGGGGCGGGGTCCTCCCTCACTCCATTGCCCGTTTACTGGTCTGGGGGTCTGGTTTTCTCGCGCCACCTCTGGAACCTGGGGGCGGAGGGGAGAAGGCTCACCTGGGGCCACTTCCCAGGACACACCCCCAGCGCTAGGCTCCTCGCCCCGCTGAAAGGCGTTGCTGATGGGTGAGTGCGCCCCCCTCATTTTTGACCCCAGGTGGGGCTGACGCAGGCTTGCACGGAGGCTTGCGGGGAGGGGATGTCTCCGCTCACCACGCCCAGGGCGGGCAGCCTCCCTCCCTGGGAGGGGTGAATGTAGTTTGGCCTACACTGGTTCGGTCTCCCGCAGGTCCCCACCCTACCTGGGACAATACTCCCTGGAAAGCGGCTCTCCACCCACTTCCACACCCCACACTGGCTGGCAAGGCCCCTTGAACCCCACTCCAAAAATGCAGGGGAACCGCCCCAGAATCCCTGTCCACCCACTGCCTCACCCAAGGGACTGGCAGGTAAGAAGGGGTGTTGTACCCACAAGACACTGAGGCCTCTGTCTTGGGAGGGACCTCAGAAGAGAAAGCAGGAGAGCAGGTGGGCCTCAGTGGCCTTGTCCAGCCGGGCCCTGGGTTTGCACAAAGCCTGGCAGGTGCCAGGAGCAGGAGGATGGGGAGGAGAGAGTGGCCACGCCCCAGGTTGTGGGGGGGGGGGGGTCACTCAAATCTATCCCCAGCTCTGGTGCAAATGTGGAATCAGGCCAGCCTGGGCCAGAGGCAGCCCTGCCCTAACCAGTTGCCCGCCTGGGCTCCCTGCCGGGGGCCTGGCTGGCTCAGACTCAAAACCCCCTGCAGGAGGGGCCAGCTTCCCGGAGGGGGCGGGTCAGGTGGACAGGTCAGTCCTGAGAGCAGGGCTGGAGGCCGCAGAGACGCCACCTGCAGGGGCCTGAGAAGGTTCGGTGTGGGGCTCTGAGACAGTCCAGCCTCATAAGGCCCTGCACTGGCCCAGGGTGAGGCAGGTGGGTTGGAGGGGAAAGGAGGGGTGCGGGGGGGGGGTGGCCAGGGGGAGGGGGGGGTTGTTCACCCAAACGGCGGGGATATCAGAGCGGCTGTCCTCCACAGACAATGGCCTTGCAGGCTGCTCTGCCTCCCCTGGGGTCCCGTGGGACCGCCACCCACTGCAGCCTCCTGCTCCTGCTTCTCAGCCTCGGTGAGTAATGCGGTGGTGGTGGGGGGTGCTGCTGCCAAGTAGTGGGGGCCCAAACAGCTGAGGGGCCTCAAGAAAGGCTCTCATTGCCCCACACCTCCTCCCTGCCTGTGGGCAGTGCCCCCTCCCCCATCCTTGGCAGGTGCCCTGAGGTCAGGCAGCTGTTCCAAGTTCCGGACAGGTGGCCCGAGTTCTGGCGGGTGCTCCGAGTCTCGGCGGGTGCCCTGAGTCCTGAACAGGTGCCCTGAGTTCCAGATGGGTGCCCCGAGTTGTAGGTAGGTGCCCTAGACCTGGGCAGGCTGTCAGCCGTGTCTCTGTCCCCAGAGGTGACTGTGGCGGCCCCCCCTGCTGGACCTCCACGCCCTGCAGCATTAGCGGCTGAGCCAGGGCAGTGATGGGCCCTCAGGCCAAGCTGAGAGTGTCCACGGAGAGGGTAACTCCTCGACCGGAGCAGTGAAGGCTTAGGAGGAGGATGAGGGACGCCTGGGCCCTTGGGGTGGGGTGGGCTGTGACATCATGGGGTGCAGGGGCCTAAGTCTGTGGGGGGAGCACAGTGTTGGGGGAGCAGCTTTGCCTCCTTCCTACATACGGCGGGGGCCGGTGGCAGGCACCCCAGGAATCCCTGGCTGTCCCTTCCAGCCTTATGCTCTTCCCCTGCAGGGTGGGTGCTACCTTCTAGGGTCCGGGCTGCAGACTCGCGACCGGTAAGTTCCCTCTGGGGAGACAGAGGAAGGTGTCTGGCCCCAGGTAGGGGGCCTCAGACCCCCGGCCATGCACAGCTCAGCTACAGCCCTGCTCTGTCCTCAGGGTGTCATGACCCCCTGGCTGCAAGGCACCTCCCGGGACCTGTCTTGGCAGCGGCCTCAGCTGACCGTCCTCCTCCCGAGGGACCGGCGGGACACAGAGAGTAAGTGGGAAACCCTGTCCCACTGGCTGTCAAGAGACCCGGGGATGGGGTAAGGTCGTGGGCTCACACCTGCCCATACCCATGGCCCTTCCTGGCCGCTCGGCTTGCTCCACGGTGACAACCTCGGAGAAGGGACAGAATCCCTCCATTCTGCTGATGTGTAAACTGAGGCCTGGAGGGGGTCCTGCGTTGCCCAGGGTCTGTCTACGTGAGGTTTGGAAGGAGGAGACGTCCAGCCCTCAATCCCCTGCCTGCCCCCGCAGAGAAAGCCTGCCCACCAGAGCGGAGGGCCCGTGTGGTGGATGAAAACCTTGTCTTCTACGAGCCCTGGGAGCTGGAGGCCTGTGTAGATGGGGCCCTGCTGGCCGCTCAGATGGACCGGGTGAACATGGTGCCCTTCACCTACCAGCAGCTGGGCGTTTTTAAGCGCAAATTGGACGAGGTAGTTCATGAGGGGCTCATACCTGCCCACCCCGCCAGAGCATCCCCAGCCATCCATCCATCCAGTCACCTCCCCGGGCAGCTCTATCCACAGGGGTACCCCGAGTCCCTGGTCCGGCACCTCGGGTACTTCTTCCTTGAGCTCACCCCCGAGGACATCCACAAGTGGAACACGATATCCCTGGAAACCGTGAAATCTCTTCTTGAAGTCAGCAAAGGGCACAAAATGGATGCTCAGGTGACAGGGAGGGAGCGGGTGGTGTGAGGCCGTGCAGACCCCAGCGGATTGTGGGTCTCCTTGCCCCAAGGCACCCGTGGCCTCCTTCCACAGGTGGCTGCCCTGATTGCCCGCTATCTGGTGGGAAGGGGCCAGCTGGACAAGGCCACCCTGGACACACTGGCCGCTTTCCATCCGACGTACCTGTGCTTCCTCAGTCCTGAGCAGCTGGAGTCAGTGCACCACAGCGTTGTTTGGTGAGTCCCAGGGGTCCGCCGGGGGTGGTGGGCACGCTGCGCCCTGGGCTCACTGTCCGGGCCCTGCTGCCTCTCCAGGGCAGCCCAGCCCCCGGATCTGGATGCATGCCGCCCGGCCCAGATGGACGTACTCTATCGCAAGGCCCGCCTTGCCTTCCAGAACATGAGTGGGTCTGAATACTTCGAGAAGATGAAGCTCTATCTGGGTGAGCCAGGGTACACCCAGGGGGCGGTGGTGGCCAAGGCTCCCCACGCAGGGGCCGCCAGTTCCTGCCTCACTAGGCCACTGCTGGTGTGACTGGTGGTCACTGTGCCCTGTGCCCTTACGAGTGTGTGTAGGTGGAGACCCTGTGAGTTCTGAGCCGGCCCAGATGCTCCCGCGGCCACCTCCGGCCTCTCCACGCACCCTGAGGGTCAGATGGGCACCAGGGGAACCCGGGGCCCAGGAACTCCTTAGGAAAAGGGAATCTTGGGGAAGGAGGACGGCTTCTTGCAGCCTCCGGGCAGGGGATAAGACTGGGGGCTGTTGCGAGGTCTCACGCTTGGGGCCCTCTCCCCGCGGTCAGGTGGGGCCCCCACGGAGGACCTGCGGGCTCTCAGCCGTCAGAACATAAGCATGGACTTGGCCACATTCCGGACGCTGCGGCCCGAGGCAGTGGTGGTACGGCCGCGGGGCGGGGCCGCGGGGGCGGGGCCACACGGGGCGGGGCCCAGGGGCGGGGGCACGGGAGGGGCGGGGCCAGGCAGGGGCTGTCTTCGCGCCGGGGCTAGCGCCGAATCCCGGAGCGACCAAGGCAGGTTCTGTGCGCCCGGGAAGGGAAGCGCCGGGAGGTTTGGGCGGAGCAGAGCCCGGCAGCCTTCTGTGGGTGAGGCAGGGCGCCCTTGACGGCCCGCTGGGGGCTCTGGCAGCCGCTGACCGTTGCCGAGGTCCGAAACCTTCTGGGTCCGAACCTGGTGGGCCTGAAGGCGGCGCGGGAGAGCAGCCCCGTGCGGGATTGGATCTCACGGCAGCGGCAGGAGGACCTGGACAGTCTGGGCCTGGGGCTCCGAGGCGGCATCCCCAATGGCTACCTGGTCTTGGACCTCAGCTTCCGAGGTGGGCCAGGGTGGCCGGCTGGGTGGGGTCGGAGCGGAGCGGCATGGGGCGTCTGAGTCACTCCCTCTGTACAGAGGCCCTCTCAGGGGGCGCCCGCCTGCTCCGACCCGGACTTGTGCTCACTGCGGCCCCGACTCTGCTGTGGGCTTTGGTCCCGAACTGAGCCCGCTGCTCCGGATGCTGGACCTGCCCTGCTGGAGGCCCCGCCTGGCCAAAGCGGCCCCGGTGCTCCCTGGCCCGCCTCAAGGGGACTGGGGTTCAATAAAAGGACACTTTCCTTCCCTGCAGAGGCACCCTGTGGTGTTCTGAGGACGTGGTGGGAAGGCCCTGACCTGGTAGATGTGGTTCCCGAGTTGTAGCCCCTCCTATTTGCACTTGGAGGAGGGGGCCCAGGGGAGGTAGTCCAGGCAGGCAGGTGGCCTTCAGGGCCTTCCTACCACGGTTTCCAGTCCCGGGGTCTCCCCTCCGAGTCCAGGCCAACACTCAGGGTGGCGTCTGGAGACACGGCCGGAAGACGACGGCACAGAAGTCCGTTCCCGGCTGAGAAGGTCTCTGCCCCTCCTCGGGCTCAGCACAAAGGGACACAGGCAGGAAGGTCACCTTGTCTTTTATTCGAATCCCTCAGGGATGCCCCCTCCCAGCAGCATCTGAGGGAGACCAGAAGGCTGGGACAGCATCTCCGTCAACTCTTCAGGGCTGGCCTCGGGGTGGGCCCAGATCCTCATTCCAGCTCCCTGTCCTGGGAGCTGGATGTGGGTGGGGACCAGCCCTGCGGGCCCCTAGAAGGCCGCACATGGTGGACCCCAGCTACCAGCCCCCGTTTCCCTGCTCGTGGTGCTGGGGCGGCGCCGTCTTCAGAGGCCATAGTGCGGGGGTCCCAGGAGCAGTCCTGGCTGAGCCCTGGGGTGCCCCAGTACAGCAGCCACAGGAGGCCAGAGGGCAGGGCCACAGAGAGTGGCAGGTACCCCAGATGGGCTGGTGGGCTGCCTGTAGGCAGAACATGGAGGGAGCACCTATCAGTCCCGGCTGGGAGCCGCCCCCGGGGCTGTCCCGCCGCCTCCCGGGCCTGGGCACCCCCTCAAGGCTCACACCGTCCCTGCAGCTGTGGAAGGCCATGTAGGCTGCTGTCCTGGGCCCTGGGCAGGGATGGCACAACTTCTCCCCCCCACCCCCCCACCCCCCACCCCCCACTTTCTGGCACTCAGCAGGTCTTGGAGGAGGGGATTTTGTCCTCCAATAACTCAGCCGCCAGTGAAGAGTGAGGCCGGTGTCACCCAGATGCCACCCAGGGAGACAAACAGAAAGAGTGGCCGACAGAGTGGGAGGTCGGGCGTCCACAGAGGCGCCGGGCAGACCGACCGGGCCGGGTGGGGAAGGCCCACCAGAGGCGAGGGCGGGTTGGGAGCATACCGGAGGCGGGGGCGCTGTGCCTGGGAAGGCCTGACGTGGGGGCTGGGTAGGGCCCCCGGGGCGCGGTGTTGGGGGTGACAGTGGTGGAGCGGCCTGGGCCGCTGAGGCCGGCAGGGTCCGTGTCTAGGCCCAGCTCGCCAAGGGCCGACCTGTTGAGGCTGCGCAGCCAAGAGCTGATGGTCGGGTGGCTCCGTGCCTTCTGTAGGTCCCCCACGTTCTGGCCCAGCAGTGTCGTCACATTGCCGACACTCAGGCTCTGCGAGGGAAGGGAGGGGGCCGTGGTGGGGGGGGTCCGGAGGGTCCCGCAGAGGCCAGCTTTGGGGCCAAGGGCAGACCTGGCAGGGCAGTGCTTGACTGAGGAGTGAGCACAGGGGTGAGGCCTGGCAGCAGTGAGCTGGGGTTCACGCGGTCTGCATCCCCCTGACTTTGGGGCACTCGGGCCTCCCCTGGGCGGGCAGCCCTCAGGGCCCACCTGCAGCACACGGGGGTTCAGATTGGTGAACGTGTCGATGTCCATGGAGACGTTCGCCTGGACCAGATGCCGCAGCTCCTCCACGGGGGCACCTCCTGGGGGCCGGGCAGTGGTGAGGGGAGAGGGGCGGCGGGCTTCTGGGGACGGGCTGCTGCACACAGGGCAGGGTCTCACCAAGGTAAGGACGCATGAAGCGGTAATACGCAGCCGTGGTCCTGGTGCTGCCGAAGGCCTCGCGGGCCTTGGCGTAGAGCACGTCTTTCCGGCTCTGAGGGCAGGAGGAGATATCCAGGGCCCCGGCCAGCCTGGGGGAGGAGGAGGCTGCTGGGCAGGCCGGGAGCCCCTCACGCTCCTGGCCACTCCCCTCCACAGCTTTCCTCTCGCCCTCTGTACTGTGCCTAATAGCGTCCCTCCCCAAACTCGCACCTGCCCCAGCCTCAGAAGGTGGTCTTGTTTGAAAACGGAGTCGTGGTCGCTATCTGTAGGTCTATTCTAACATGACCCCACGCTGAATTAGCGTGGCCCAAGGTCTAACAACTGGATGCAAGAAGGAGATCTGTATGCAGACAGAGTGCGAGGCCGCGTGACCACGGAGGCCGAGGCCGGGGCGAGGCGTCCGCCAGCCCGGGAAGGCCAAGGGGTTCGGGCAGCTGGTCCTGTGACGCCTTGATCTCAGACTTCCGGTCTCCAGACAGCGAGAGGTCTCAAACGGCTGGGTTAATGGCACTCTGTTGTGCAGCCGTAGAAAACTAACAGCCTTAGGTGGCCTGGCCGAGCCCCACCCTCCTTGGCTGAGGGGCGGTGAGGGGGCGGTCACTGGGCCTGCTCACCGGAACTCCGAGGGCCTGATGGCCTGGATCTGCCTGGCACTCATCCAGCAGAGGCGGGAGCCCCCGATGGCCACGAGCAGGGCGCCGGTGAGGGTGCCGTTGTGGTCCAGGTACTTCTGTAGCACAGCCTGGAGGCGAGGCCGGGTCAGCGGGGCCGGGGTCAGCGCCCCCCACCCCCACGCCCCCTGCACCGCCCTCACCTCAGTCTGGTTCTCCAGGGCCACGTCTGAGGCCAGCAGGGCCACGACGGTGTCTCTGGACGTGACGTTCCACTGGCCGATCTCGGAGCGGGAGTAGAGGTAGACCAGCGAGGCGATGAGCGGCAGCTGCTCCTCGGGGACCCCGCGCGGGTAGACCTGGGGTTGGGGTGGGGGGGTCAGGCCACACCGCCCGGCGCCCGCCCACCTCTTCCCGCAGCTGGTCCGCGGCGCACCCGAGCGAGCTTGGCCTTGACGACGCGCTGGCACTCGGCCGGCAGCGGGTGCTGCAGCAGGGGGTCCAGGTTGGCTTTGAGCACGCGGCTCCCCAGGCAGGACTCCAGCTGCACGCAGTCATAGTGCACCAGAAAGAGGTCGTCGCGCAGTGTGGCCGCCGTGATGTCCCCACGGAGGCAGGGTCTCCCTGTGGCTGGGGGTGGGTTGGGGGTTTTGAGCTGACCTGTGCTGACCTGGGGCCCCACCCACCTCACTCCTGAATTTGGCCTGCCCTTGACTCTCTCCCCAAGCTTGACCTCTAGCCAAGAAAACTGTGTCCAGACCAGATTGAGTTTGACCTTGACTCCCAACCCAGGCCCGACCTTACAGTTCAGCTCCACTGGGCTCTAACGAACCCCGACGCCCCCCCGCCCCCCTGCACCCCTCGGCTGGATGCAGACCCCTAGGCCACGCCCAGGCCAGCATGCCACATGTTGGGTGAGCCCGCCCTAGGGTTAGGAGCCCAAAGCGGAGGAGACAGAGCATCCCCGGGCCACAGTGGCCACACTGACCTGTGCCCCGCTTGGGCCGAGAGGACACCGACTCAGCCTTGGCCTTCAGAAAGCCAGTGACGAAGCGCCTGGCGTCCTGCTGGCTAAGCCGCCCAGCTCGGTACGTGGCCACCGTGCTGCCGAAGAAGTCCAGGCCCACAGCCTGGCAGAGCGGGCATACAGACTCCATACCCTGGCGAGGGGCTGGCAGGGGCCCCTGGTTCCTCCTCCCACCCCACGGATGGAAACCCTGGGGCAGGGAGGGACTGGGGACACCAGTCCCCAGCAGAGTGGCTGCTGGAAGGCCGGCCGGACGCCCCTCCCCTTGTCCACAGCCAGCTGGACAGCCCCCCACTCCAGAGCACCCTACCTGCTGCACCTGCATCCACAGGCTGGAGCTGATGTAGGTGGCCAGGGGTCCCAGAGCCCGCAGCCCCTCTAGGTTCCAGGAACCCGGAGGCCTGGCATGTGGGAACGGGGGCACTGTGTCAGGGTCGGGAGCACAGCCCCGGGGCCTGGAGGCTGCCTGCCCCTCTCCGAGCACCCACTTTCTGGGGCCTGCCCTGCGGGGGACACCCTGCTCAGGAGAGACTCTCCCACTCCGGGTGTGGGGGCAGGGGACCGTGGGGTTCGGAGGGTGGGGGCAGCACCCCTAAGCCGGTGTGTCCCAGGCTGCGGGGTCAGTGGGGCTGTGAGCCGGGGCGAGAGGTCGAAGGTCGGCAGAGCGGTACACACTGGCGGTCTCCTCCGGAGGGGGAGGCCTGGGCAGAGAGTTACGGTCCTGCCTACCCAAGCGTGGTCTCCCCACTGGCCAGCAGCGTGTTGAGGGCGGCTTGCTGGGGGGCGGTCAGCCGATGGCAGCGCTGCAGGTTCTGCAGCACACGGGGGTCCGCGGCCACGATGCTGGACGCGTCCATGTCGCACACCAGGACCCCGAGGAGCAGCAGGTCAGAGGCGCTGAGCCGCAAGCGGGGTCCTCCCTACGGGACGGCAGGTCATCGTGAACCTGGCCCCACTTCTGGTCCACCCGGCCCGCCCGGGGCCCGCCCGCGGTGCCTACCAGGCAGGCCAAGGCCACACGCTGCAGGGCGGCCCTCTGGTCCGGCAGGTTGGCCAGCAGCTCCGTGTCCCCCTGGGCGGCACGGTGGGTGAAGGCCCGGCAGTCGGCTTCCCTCACCTGTGTCAGGCTGCGGGAGGGTTGGGGGGCTGTCGGGAGGGTGGGGACCGGCCAACGGTGCTCTGGGGCGGCCCGGATATCTGGGGAGCTGGGGTCCCTGGGACTCCAAAGGAGGCTCGCTCAGCCTGTGCCGCCCAGGTTTCGGGCCGGGAGCGGGCACTCACTTGTAGAAAAGCAGCAGGTCCGGCGGGTGGAGCTCAAAGTCGTCCTGGAGGCCGTGCAGTGCGGCCAGGTTGGCCAGGCAGCTGAGCTGGGCAGGGTGGTGATGGGTCACTCTCTCGCCCAGCCGAGGGCTCCCCCGGCCCCCTTCTCTCTGCCACGTTACCCTCCCCCTCAGGGTGGCCCCTTCCCCGCCTGCCTGGACCCCGCCTCACCTGGACATCACGTCGTCTTCCCGTCTCAGCTGCTCTCGGGATGTGTCAAGGCCAGCCCGAGAGTCCTCCCCACCCTGGGCCCCCCTGCACTACGGTGACTCAGAGGCATTTATCTCAGGGCCGCCTGCCTGGATTTCTTGTGTTGCTTGACTCACTTTGAGGTCCTTCTAGGTTCAGTACTAATTTCATACCAATGTTACAAAGAGACAAAATGGTAGCTTTTCTTCTTTCCGTTTCTTTAAACTCAGGGACGGGCAATGCTTGGATCAATGGTGGGTCGCGGGGAGAGGCCAGCAGGCTGGGGGATCTGCCCAGGGCCCAGAACCCGTCCCAAAGGGGGACACTGCATGACAGATGGAGGGAGCAAGCGGCCAGCGCAGGCCTGGCGGATAAGCCCTCACCCGAACACAAGAACAGAAGGCAGGGGGTCTGCAGGTAATTGGTGGAGAAGGCCCTAGAAATGATCCAAAGTGGGCAGCAGCAGAGAATCACTCAGGGGAGGGAAAGCCCAACCTCTGGAGGGCCAGACCCCCTGTCGCATAGGGGTCTACTGAAGTGACACCCCTCAGGCGGTGGTGACGCTGGCGGTGTCTCCTGCAGGGCCCCAGTACCCCCCCCCCTTCTCTCTCCCACCGTGAGCTCGCCCCCACCCGGCCCCACAGGCCCCCCACTGGCCCGTGTCCTGCGCTGGGGACACCCCTGCCCTCGGCACCCCAGCCTGCGCCCATCCGCCACAGCCATTCACCTGCCAGGCTCTGAGGAGGACCCGGCGAGTCGCCATCGCCCTGATGAGAGCGGAGAGCTGGTCCCGGGGCAGCTGGCTGGCCGGCTGGCACCAGAAGCTGTGCAGGAGGGAGGCGTTGGCACTGGGCAGAAAGGAGGCAGGCGGTGAGTGGGGGCGGGGGGCGGTGTAGCCCGGACTGCAGTGCACAGGAGGGAGGTCAGCTCCAACACCCAGGGGCTGAGACACAGGAAGGGTGGCTGGTGGCGCCTGGGCGCAGGCAAGACCGCTGCTTTGCTCGGCACGCACTTGTGCCCCTGTGGCACGTAGTTGGCCCCAGGCTCCAGGCGATGAGCAGGGCTTCAGTATGGCCCCGGCCTGGACTCTGGGTCTGTGCTTCCGCCCGGGGCCCGGTCCCAGGGGGCTCTGAGCTCGAGTGAGCTCCCTGGCCCCAGCAACGGCTGAGTGTTTGGGGCAGATGTGGTCCGGGCATCTGCGGTGTCACCACGGCCAGGCTGGTTCCTAGCTGAGTGCTCCGCAGGCTGTGCGTCTACTAAAATCCGTGTGTGGGGAGGACATCTCACGGGACTTCAGCCTGGGTCTCCAGCCCTGCCTAATCAGCACACTGATTGGTCAGTGATTGATGCTCCACAAGAGGTCTCTGACGCCCAGGGAAGGGAAGGGTGGCTGAGCCCACGCATGAGCCCTCTGAACAGTGCTTGGGAATTACCGAGTCTCTGTTTAGGACCTGAGAGAGCAGCCAAGCCTCGGGGCAGGGGAAGAAAGCCAAGAGGACTCTGGCCGGGAGAGCAGTGTGAGAGGTGAGGGGTTCAGCGGCCCCAGCCCCAGCTGCGACAGCCTGGGGGACCCACTCATGGCCACTCTGGTGTGGTTGGGACATGATGCAGGACACTGGGTGACCTGGGCCACCTTGGGGCAAGGTCGGTGAGTGCTGGGGGCAGCCCTGCCTCAGCCTCGCCTGGGCCGTCAGGTGCAGCCCCTGGAGCCGCACCCTCCCGCCAGGGGATCAGCTGCCAGGATGTGACCTGTAGGTTGGAACTGCAGGAGGGGCTGGCACTCACCTGGCCCACAGGTCAGCCCTGCTGGCATCCAGCCCTCCCTGGGAGAAGCCCTGGGCCTGGGGACAAGAGCGGTGGGCGGTGAGCCACATGAGGAGGGCGAGGCCTGGGCTCACCTGGGCACCTGGAACAGAATGGGCCATGAGCGGCTGACGCCCCCCCCTCCCCGGCACGGCTGCGCCTGCCTGGTGGGGGCATCTGTCAAGGGTCTGCCCAGGGCTCCCTGTGTCCCTATGACCACAGATGGTCCTGCCACCTAAGAGGAGCCGGCCGTGGGAACCACCCCCGGAGGGTCCACGGTGCCCCTTTGTGAGGGGGGGCAGTCTCACCTGCTCTTAGGCCCATGGCTGTGCAGGAAGGTGTGGGGTCACCGGCGGTGGGTTCAGGACAAGCTGGAGAGGAGATAGGACGTGATGAGGCCCACGCCATCACCGTCCCCTGCCCTCCTCGGCCCGGGCACAGAGAGAGCATTGCAGTCTGGGGTCACACAGGATGGCTGCCCCACAAGTGTCTCTGTCTTTGGGGAGGGTAACAGCCCCACAAACAATAGCTCTGCAGAACCAAAGGGAGTGGCAGAAGGGGGCCGGCCCTAACCCCGGGGCCTTCCTTATCACAGGTCAGGGCTCATGGCACCTGCAGGCTCTGGTGTCTCCGATAAACAGATCTCCACACAGCTGCAGGGCAGGGGCGGTGGTCCCAGTAGGTCCCCGCAGGGAGCTGGGGGTTGAAGCTTCAGGGGTTCCCTAACCTGTGCCCACACCTGGGTGGCCTAGAAAGCTCTCTTCTCCTCCAGGGAGACCTGGAGGCCCAGCCAGACCTTGCCTCCGGCCACAACCCCCACCACAGCCCCGGAACAGCCCTGGCCAGCCTGCAGATGGAGGTCCTGAGGGTGTTGGCGCTTGTGGGCTTCTAGATTGCGCTTCACCCAGGGTGTTACTGTCCTCTGCAGGGAGCAAAGCGTTAGCTCAGAGGGGCTCAGCAACCCACCCAGAGCCACGATGACACTGACTCCCAGCCTGCGCCCTGAGGTTCGGGTGGCCCTGCCCCAGCCGTCACTTCTCACCTGGGCTCCGAGACCTTCTGCTGTAGAGGGAGGCTGCTCCCGCGCCCCGGGGTGGCTGTCCAATGCAGGGGGGTATAAGCCAGGTGACGGGTGCTCCAGCCACTAGGGACCCCAGCCCACCAAGTGTGTCAGACCCTGCAGCTGAGCCCTGGGGCACAGGGCTGGTGCAGGGGGTGGGCACCTGTGTCCCTGCTCTGCCCCATGCCTCGCCTGACACCCTGCCTGCCTGGCCACCCAGTCCTGCAGCGATGCCTACCAGGCAGATGTGCAGGGGAGAGACCAGGGCTGGGCCAGGTGACGGTGCCGTGTCCGCCCCGGGGGACCTTGAGCACAGCAGACACCTGCCCTCCGGCCCCGGCGGAGCGACAGACTGAGCTCACGGTTGGCAGCCGCCCAACGCACACCCCTGCCCACTGGGGAATGTGTCTGTGCCCTGGGGGTCACGTGTGTATTCGTACACGTGCGTGTCTGCAGCTGTCGTGTGTGCTGCTCTTTGTGCACACGCGTGTGCCTGGGGGCGGCCACAACTATGTGAACAATAGATGTGTTCCCCACAGGGACATCAGGCACACGTGGATCCAGTGTGGCACCTGGGTTCAGTCACGCATGCGGCACTTTCTGCCCCGTGAGCGTGTGTGTCCGTAAGTGTGCGTGCTGTGAGGCCGGGAGGGGACGAAGGCAGCAGGCAGGTGTCCTCAATGGCAAAGAGCTGTGGTGCACACGCTCTGGGGCCCAGGATGGATCCCCTGAGGTAGAGCGGGAGGTGCCGTGGAAGCTTATCCCCAGCTGAGGGGGGCAGGGCCCGGGGGATACGGGGGCCTGGAACCCCACGGTGCTGGGTCAGCCACCGAACTGCTGTCATCAGCACCACAAGGAGAGCCACGCGTGCCCAGAGAGCCAGCCTCACCGCCAAGCAGGCGTGTTGACCCAGGGCCTAAGGCGCCAACAGCTAGAGGGACCGGCTGAAGACAGCTCCCCCCTCCCCTGGTGTGGACAGGCCTAACCGAAGTCCAGCTGCCCTTCCGCATGGCTGGGGGCTGGGGGCTGGGGGCGGGGCCCCACCAGCACACGCAGCTCCCCAGTGGGGACCTGCCCATGCTCTAGCCCCACCAGCAGTGCCTGTCCCGCCACTCTGGCTAAGGAAGTTCTCCTTTTCCCCTTTGCCCAGGGGCACCTGCACAATCCCCACACCCTTCAACCCTGCCCACCCACGGCCAGGGCATTGGGGGGGGGGGGACAGACAGGCCGTGTGCGTCCGTGTCTGGCCTCTGCGGTCTCAGCCTAGAGGCCCACGGGGTGGTGGGAGACAACCTCCCAGCCTACCCGTAGGAAGCAAGGTCCAGACCTGGCCTGTGGGTGGCTTTCTGGATCCCGGGGGGGGGATTCAAGGCACCAAGGAGGTCTTTTACGGGGAACAGCAGCACACGGAGAACGTTCCCCAGGACGGTGCCTACTCCTGTGTGCCTCACCCTCATGCCTTCCTACTTTGGGGACTACGAGGTATACCCAGCCCTCTGACTTCTCTGTTGTTGGTTCTGTAGGACCAGCCCGTGGGCCCCCCCAGGCCAGCGCGTCCAGACAAGTGTCCTGCGGCTGGTCACACCTGCCTCCTGCTCTCCCCGACCCGGGAGACTGGCTGGCCCTCCGAGACGGTGAAGGGCCCTAAGGCGGATGTGAAGACCACAGCTCTAGGAAGAACTGGTGAGAACAGATGGACGCTGCAATGTTTTTGGCCAGAAATGGGGATCTCCAGGAACAGGACTGACCCAGTTTCGGTCCTCTACCCAGAGCCCGGCCCTCACGCTAGGGCTGTGGGGTGCTCACTGCACGGTGGGGGAGGACAGGTCAGCAGCCGGGACCATGAGGTCCATCCTGGGTCCTGCTGGGGGACCTAGGGCAGAGGTCTGCCCCATGCAGGGAAGAGGGCAGGGATCCGGGACCCCCAAGTCCCCCACGTCGGACAGATTCACGACTGCTCACGGGGTCAGTCACTGAGTATTTATTGAGTCCCTGACGCTTAGCTGCAAGGAGGCTGATGGGGCTGTGTTACCGGGGATGGGGGCTGGTCGTCCTCACTGCCAAGCCCAAATCGGGGACTGCTGGCTGCCTAGGCATTGTGAGAGGGTTGAGAGGCGTGGCTCAGACCCTCCCCACAAGCCATCTGGGTAGGAGGGGGCCGAAGGGCAGAGTCTGGTAGAAGCAAAGGCACAAGGCAGTATCACGGGGAGGATGGGTCAGGGTCTGCAAGAGGGGAGGCCCAGCCCGGCTAGGCTGACCAACACAGGACCTCTGAGAACGGTGAGGACCAGGTGCTCTGAGGCCCGGGCTGGGGGCCCCGGAGGGACCCAACCTGAGGCTGGCTCAGCTCTTGCCCCTGCCTCTTGCAGGGAGACCTTGGGCAAATTTACAAAAACAAGCCGTGAGGGATGAAGCTTTGGAGCCGGGAAGGCAGGCCTTGGTTTCCCCTGGGGGAGAGGGGGCTTGGAGGAAGGCCTCATCCTCCAGAATCATGGCGGCCTGGCTCCCCCTGCTGGCCTTGCGGCCCCTCTCCAGGTCTAGCTGCCACAGCCAGGGGATTCTGTCCCTGTCCGCAGGGGCGCCGCACACAGGGACACCCCCGACTTGGGACGGGCCTAGAGTTCTCCCCTGAAGCCCCCACCCCTAGTGGTCCCAGCTGGCGCTCCCACCCACTGTGGTGCCCTTAGTTGTCAGGCTCCAGTGTCCACTCTGACAGCCACTGCAGGCACGATGCCCGCTGTGCCTCTGTCTCGGGGGGCCTGGTGGAGGGTGTGGGAGTGCTGCAAGGTCTGGGGCTCCCTTCCGCAGGCTCAGGGTCGGGAGCAGCCCTCAGGACCTGGACGAGCTGGTCCAGTGACCGCACCAGGGTGTGGGGGCTCCAGCAGGCATCGAGCGTGGGCACGAAGGGATCTGGCGTGCAGGCCTCCACACACTCGGTGTGGGTGGGGATGCGCAGGTAAAACGCGTGCAGCATCATGCGGAAGGGCTGGTCTTCCCGGCCCGACGCCTGCCCGTAGGTCAGGTCCCCCACGACGGGGTGACTGAGGGCGCTGCAGTGCACGCGCAGTTGGTGCGTCCGGCCTGTGGGGGTGCCGAGGGAACAGGTAGGGTGGGGAGGGCATCCCGTGCCCCTCCCCCTCCCCCCACATCGCCCCAGCCCTGTCCTGTCGCTGTCTGGAAGCCCCACGAAACCCTTGAAAATGGCAGACCTCTCTGTTTCCTGGTCCAAACGAGAACATCAGGATTCAGAGAAGCGGTCGACTCCAAGAGTCGCTGCCGGGAGGGTCAAGGCCAGGCACGCTGGAGAACTCCTGCCGGCCTTCCAGAGGCCCTCACGTCCAGGAGCAAGACCCCGTGTGGGGCTGAGATAGTGGAACGGCCCCAGGCAGGCCACTCTGCCCCTGTGCCACCGTTTCATCTCACGCGTAACAGAAGGGACACCGCAGCACCTTGTGTGAAGAGACGTGGGTGCCAGACATCGACCACGCCAGGGGCGCGAGGGACATCATTAACAGACAGCAAAGGGGCCTGGATGGCTTCCTGGTCCCTGCCCCCAGACGTACCCGTGAGGGGCTGCAACAGCACTTTGGAGACGGGGTCGCCCGCGTACAGCCCGTGTTCCAAGACCACCAGCTCGGTGACACTTGGCTTTGGGTTCTCACAGCCTGTGAGGAGGAGGACAGGGCGTGAAGGTTGGCTGGACCAGCCTAGGGTCCGATCCACTCCAGCCCAGCTCACCTGTCTCCACGGGCCCTGCACGCTCAGGCTTCTCACTGGATGACCCTCCCCCTCCCACTGGTCCCCAGGGATGTCCCCCTGACAGACCCCACTCCCCTGGCCTGCGTACCCTGTGTACCCTCGATGCACATGGTGTGAGCCCGACCCTCTGTGCTGTTCCTGCCGATGGCATAGTTGATGGTCATCCGGCTCTCCTGGACGTGTCCCCGTACCTGCCAGGCAGAGGGTCACGAGCTGCTCTCGGGGCCACCCACCACTTCTGGGGAACCCCCTGCCTCGGAGACCGGTCAGGCCTTACCAGAGCCAAGTAAGCCTTGGTGACACGGCGCTCCTTGAAGCACTTGTAAGCGCTGCCCGCTGCAGCCTTGTTCAAGGCCACACAGAGGGCCCCGCTGGTGGAGAAGTCCAACTGGTGGCAGAACCTGGCATGGGGCAGCGGATCAGGGGTGGCTAGACTGGGGGTGGCCACTTCCCTCCCGCAGAGGCCGCTGGGGGCCACCAGTGCCTGGCCTCTGCACACCTGAACCCATAGTAGGTGTCAGGGTCCGCTAACTCGGGGAAGCGGAGGCGCAGCTGCTTCTGGAGGGTGGGGGTCTCACGCCACATCCTACTGTCGATGCGCAGGTCCCAGTGCTTGTTCACCACCAGGAAATCCTGGCTCTGGTACACCACCGACAGGCTCTCTACTGGGCCTGCTTCCATGCTGGCGCCTGCAACGCACGGGGGTCCACGGGAAGTACAGCGCACGTCAGCGTCCTGCGCAATTGGCGTGTACATCCCTGTTCTCCAGGGTCCCCGGCGTGAAGCTACTGACGCGGCGTCCGCACGCACTAGATCCCTTTCTACTCTCACTTCTCAGCTCTGTGGGGTTGTCCGACCCAAACGCAGAGCCCGGAAGAAGCAGTCTCGCGCCTCAGCCCACCCCCGCGGACCCCTCCGGGGCAGTCCTCCAACGCGCGATAGGAGCCGCTTGCCGAGAGGGGAGGGGCCAAGAGAGGAGCTGCCGGCCCCCCCCCCCCCCACGGCGGCCGTGGCCCCCAGCGAGGGCGGCCATCTCCGCCCTCACCCCCGGCCCCCGCCCCCGCCCCGAAGCAGATACAATCCTCCCCGGCAGCCCCCGATCCCCGCGTCTGATGGGCACCGGCCTACGGGTTCTGGGAGCCCTTCCCGCAGCCTGCCCCGCCCCTACTTCGGACCGACCTGCAGCTTCGCCGCGCCGCCCCGGCCCGCCAGGCAGCTGCCGGGCGCCGGCTCCAGCACTACGTCCCCGCACCTGGCGGCCCAGCGACCCCACAGCCGCGCCTCACGGGACCTACCGGAGCGCGCAGCCCTGCCCACGCCCCGCCCACGTCCCGCGCACGCCCCGGACGGGCAGCCGTGCGGGCCAATGGTGAGCGCCCCAGACCTCCGCTTCGACTCCGGCGCGTCTGCTCAGCCCGGCGCTCTCCCCGCCCTCGTCGCAGACAGGCGGGCGTGCCGGCCAATGGTGAGCGCCCGAGGCCACGGCGCTGGCTCGGCCCCGCCCGGCCTGCGCGCGCAGCCCCGCCTCCGCCCCGGTCCTCCCGGTGGCCAATGGCGAGAGGCGCCGGGCACGCCGGCCATTGATTGGCGGCGCCGGGACGCGAGGGGCGGGAACGGCGCGCAGCACCGGCGGCCGCGCGGGAGGTTCGGAGCGGCGGGTTGGTGCAGCGGGAGCGGGCGCCATGGGAGACCCCGAGCGCGAGCTGGGGGGCGGCCAGGACGACTTCTACAGCCAGTTTGCGGCCGAGCTCGAGGTGCTGGCCGAGCTGGAAGGTGGGCGTGGGCCCCGCCTCGGCCTCGTCCCCCTAGTCCTGGAGGGCTGGTCGGAGGAGGGGAGGCGGCGGGGACCCGGAGGCTGGAGCGAGCTGAGGCGGGGGCGTATCGGAGCGAGAAGGGCCCTCCAGCGCCCCAGGCCTCGGGAGCTGTTGCCCGTACAGGCTGACCTGGCGCCGCTGCCGTCAACCTTCTCTCCCGGCAGGGACAGCCGCCCCGTCGCCCTCCAGGGGTCCCTGGCCCACAGCGTGTCGGTCCCGGCTGACGTTCGAGGAGGAGGCCGTTGCTGGAGGGGACGCTGCCACTCATTGCTCTCCAGGCGGACCTCCAGGGAACCACAAAGGCAGTGCCAGGAAGAGGCAGCTGGCCGATCATGACCCCAGGGACGGGGCCTTGCCTCCCAGTATGTCCTCAGAGCCCCAAGGCATACGGGTGGGGTGTGAGGCTTGGCAAGAGTTTCTGAAACTTTCGGCTTTCTCCCCAGCCCCCAGGGTCAAACGGCTCAGGCTGGAAGTCGTGAAGAAGCTGAACTTCAGACCTGAGCAAATGGAAGAGCCGCCCCTTCCTGACTCGCCTGCTGGGGACATCACCCCCCCACCGAGTCCGGAGATCCCCCCTGCACTGTGGGGCAAAGGGTGTGTGGCTTGGGGCACAGATGCCCCAGGGATTTTGGGAGGGTCCCAGGTTTTGGGAGGCTTGGGGCTGAGTGTGTGTGGGAGGGGTGTATAGTCAAGAGTGGATCTGAGTTTCTCCTGTCGTGGTCACAGGAGGTGAGTGTCCCCAGGTCAGCATTTGTCCCTTCCTAGGCCCTTGGATGCTGGTGCTGACGTGGGTCCCCTTCAGGCCTCTCCAGCAGCTCGAAATCCTGTCCTGAGGCGGCCCCCTGTCCTGGAGGACTATGTCAGTGTGACCTCCACTAGTGGCTGCCGGGCTTTTCTGGTGCTGCGGGGTGACCCCGTGGGCACAGGGGTGCAGGTGAGTGTTGTGTGGCCACAAGTGGGGGTGAGAGGCTGGCAACAGCCTTCCTGCAGGGTAGGCGGGCTCAGTGCTGTCCAGGAAAGGGTCCTAGACCTCATATTAACCCTCAGACCCTGGGGACCCCTCAGGAAGTTCACGTGACCTGCAGTCATCCCCTTGTGAGGGTCTGTTTCACTGTCCCCTTCCTGTGGCGTCTCTTTTCCCTTTCTCTGACGTTTTAACCTTCACCTTCTTTCTTTAGAGCTATCTCCATCCCAGTGCGTTTTCTCTTTAGGATTTTTGCTTGGAGAGGCGGTTTGTCCTTGCGTTGGTCTGTTGTCGGTAGAAAACGCCACCTGGGTCCTCGAGCGCTGACGAGAGAGGGTCTGTGGGTGGTTGTGTTCTGAGAGATGACAAACGGTGTCCTCGTTTCCCTACAGAACCCTTTCCTCGATATCCGGT